ACTCGTATATCCTCCACTCCTAATGAATAAATGTTAACATTTTCTACTATGTTTTTAAGAAAAGAGAAATATCAAAGATAAATTTACAATCCCCTATATTCTATTCCCTAATCCTGTTTTCTTCCCTTATTTCTTAGAGGTATCTTCTATCATGAATTTGCTGTATGTCCAATCCATGTTTTTTGTTTTTATTACATATATGTATATATATAGTTTTGTGTATGTGATTTTATTTTTCCTTTACGTAAATGATATATTACTGTACTTAACATTCTGCGTTTTCTTTTTACACTGAACATTTTGCTTTCTAGATCTATCCATGTTAAAACATAGAGATTTATCTCATTCTTGTAACTGATTAATGGTTTTCATCATAGAAATATACCATATTTTATTTAAATATTCCTCTACTGGTGGACATTTAGGTTGTTTCAAATTTTTTACTTCTACAAATTATACCACCTCGAGCATCCTTGATAATGTTTTTTTTGGTGTACACAAGAAGTAAAACTGCTGAATCTTCAGATTGCTCTCTTGCAACTGTTCTTGATATTGCCTAATGGCTTTCCAGAGTACTTGTGTGGATATATACTGCCTCCAGTGCTGAGAACTTTTTTGATTCTCCACGTCCTTGCCAAAAGTTGATAATGTTTTATGAGTGTGAAATAGTATCTCATTTTTGTTTAATTTATATTTTATTGATTACTAGTGAGTTTGAGCATTTTTTCATCTGTTTATGGGACATTTGAGTTTCTTACTCATTCAGCAAATGAATGAGTATTTGCCAAGCACTGTTCTAGGGTACTAGTAATGTAATAGTGTACATGACAAACAAATTCCTGCCCATGTGCATCTTAATCCTAGTTGGAGGAGATATGCAATAAACGAGTAAAGTATATGCGAAGTGAGTAAAATGAAGATGAGTGCCAGGGAGAAAAATAATGCAGGGAAGAGCAATAGAGAGGGCTAGGAGTGAGGGGGCTTACACTGGTTTAAATTGGCTGGTCAGAGAAAGGCAAAGTGATAATAGGACGTTTGAGCAAAATGCTCATGAGGGCATGAGTCATAATATGGCTGCCTGGGAGATGATTATTCCAGGCTTGTATAATTTATAATTGTTAGTAAAACGGCCCTGAGGCAGGAGCATGCCTAGACTATTTGAGGAACCACAAGAAGGCGAGTGTGGCTGGAGTACAGAGATCAAGGACAAAGAAGTAGAAGACAAAGTCATAAGATGCTAGGGATGGGGCAGTGGTGGGGTGTGGCAGGGAAGAGATCCTGTAGAGCCTTGAAGACAATTATTATGAGTCTTGCTTTTTTTTGGTTTATTGTGGTAACATTGGTGTATAACATTGTATAAATTTCAGGTGTACATCATTATACTTCTATTTCTGTAGGGATTACATCATGTTCTTATGTTCACCACCCAAATACTAATTATAATCCATCACCACACACATGTGCCTTATTATCCCTTTCACCCTTCTCCCTCCCCCCTTCCCCTCTGGTAACCACCAATCCAATCTCTGTCTCTATGTGTCTGTTGTTATTATCTACTACTTAATGAGTGAGATCATATGGTATTTGACCTTCTCTCTTCGACTTATTTCACCTTGCATAATACTCTCAGTGTCCATCCATGTTGTCACAAATGGCTGGATTTCATCATTTCTTATGGCTGAGGAGTATTCCATTGTGTATAAATACCACATCTTCTTTATCCATTCTTCCCTTGATGGGCACTTAGGTTGCTTCCATGTCTTGGCTATTGTGAATAACACTGCAATGAACACAGGGGTGCATGTATCTTTGTGCATTGGTGTTTTCACGTTCTTTGGATAAATACCCAGCAGTGGAATAGCTGGATCATATGGTAGTTCTATCCTTAATTTTTTGAAGAATCTCCATACTGTTTTCCATAGTGGCTGCACCAGTTTGCACTCCCACCAGCAGTGTATGAAAGTTCCCTTCCCTCCACATCCTCTCC